GATCCAGGGTTTGTTATTGGAAAAGCAGTGTACGTCTTTGGTGGGGATGGTGTTGTCTACGCAGAAGTTAATATAGTCAGTGACACAGTCCACCATGCTGTCTACACAGTCCACCATGCTGTCCTTAAGCCATCACAGAAGACACCAGCACATACAGCAAGACTTGCCTGTAAAATGAAAAGGTGAAAAATGTACAAAGCAGATCATGACCTCATCTCATCTGGCTGAAGAAAATGTTTATTAAAGGGGATTAAATATATTGATTAAATATAAAATGCTATTTTATATTTCAGGGTTATAAAGAATTAGCAGTGATGAGCGCATTTCCAACCAAAATAAAAGTAAAATGTACACAATAACATGTAAAACCTACAAATTACAAAATAGATTAAATTTCCAGGTATGGCAGCACCATGCTCTGTAATTCAGAGGCAAGAAAAAATTCCAAACTACACAACCTGTAGTTGTCTATGACATTGTAAACAAGCTGGCTTATCAATACATATTGCTCTCAACCTCGAGACTTTAGACAAATTCTACCTGCTTGTTAACTCACATTGGAATATTTCTGCAGTGCACAACCTGTACTTATTCACATGTAGATCAGATTACATTAGTTTTTACAGTGACTAGTGAGCAGGAAGTGCCGCTTCATGTAGCAATTTCTCCAAATATTCACTCTCGTCTGTGGCAAAACCAAGGGTTTGAGACATTATGGCAACTTACAGTACTTTCACAAAATTCAAGATTTTGTGCTTAACTGGAAATTTGTCATTTTTCCCATACCGACAATAAATTTATTTTGTTAGAGATTTAATCACTGATCTGAAAACTGGAACTACAGTTCCCCTTTCAATACATTTGAGATTTGAAATTAATGGCATTGTTGAAAGCTGAACTTACATACATTTCAAAATTATCTCAATGACGTAACAAGCACACTCAAAAACATCTATTGCATGATTATAACAAAAAAGCAATTAATTGTAAAAAAACATCCTTTGAAGCTGATTTGTTTTTACTTTTTTTCATTTATCCAAACATACATAGTATTCTCGTAACATAAGAGTAACTGACATCACATTGTGTGAACGACTGGTCTGCAAATAACCCATTGGAATCACGTGTTCAGAGATCTATATTCTCAGGATTATGAAAAGTAGGAAGCTGTTTTTGACCAGGGAACGAAGAGCTGAAATGTAGAAACTTGCCTGTAAGAAATGGGCAGAGTGTTGATCCTTGCTGAAAAATAAAGTATGAACAACAGTTTGGCTGTGGAGGCTTCTTCCATATGTTATAATGATAATCTCATGCATTTAGTTACTGCTTGTCATCCCAAAAGATTCACCCCCCTGAAAGGGAACCTATCACACATTCTACTGGCCTCCACATTTTCCCTGTTCTTTATCCTCATGATAAGGGGTTATTTACTTGTTAAAGACACTTCCACTGGGCAGATTTGTAAAGGTTCAGGATAGCTTGGCCAAAACAAGGGATAAACCTGCTCTGTAAATGCATTTTTAAACCTGTAGATGGGTGCCTTGTCACTGGGGTCAGAGAATGATACCTCTCCCCTGTCATAGTCCAGCTGCAATCTGATTTTCTGAGGTTTCCTCTTCAGAGTGAGTCGTGTCTGTGGTGATGTCAGTGCTCTGTAATCACCATCCAGAAGACCTATCATCCAGAATCCTCCTTCTGGGCTCCCAGTGATTGATCCTTTTCTGCTAATGGTTTCTTTAGCCAGACCCAAGATCCAGTAATTTTTGTCTACCACCTCCACATCCCAGCAGTGTCTCCCAGAGGTGAATCCCTCAGAACCCAGCACACCTCCACCTGTATCAAACCTCTCTGGGTTGTCAGGAAGCTGCTGTCTCTCAGCTCTGCCTCTCACACTGGTAAGATCCTCAGACAGTGAGAGCTGAGGTTCTGCTGTGTTAGGATCCAGAGTCACAGGAGCTGATAGAGAAAGAAAATTGCAATATTAAATAGCTTCGGCTTATATTTGTAGCCAAGGTAGAGTTTATGCTGTACTGTATGTGTGATGTGTAACTAACTGAAAAAAAGGCAGTAAAAATGAATGAAGAAGTTATTTACATTTTTTATTAAATAATGTTATGATTGTGAGTGGAATGTAAGGACCAAGGGAAAAACATGTTAAAGTTCCTATCCTTATCTTCACACAGGTATATTCTCTACTAATAAACTTCATTTTGTAGTGGCTGTTGAGAATGTGAGATTTATATTGTGGAAGTTACATTTACTTAAAGCCATGCTGCCAAAATTATTTTAATAAAATACTCATTAAGTACTTAAGAGAGCTAAGTCAATAATTTAACAAGAATTATAGTTCAATGTTGGTGGAAATGAACAGGCTAAACCAATCTTCAGTATAATTGTGAGTAATCAAAAGATGAATGCAGTGAATAGGGTAGTTCATGTTCCGTTAATTATGTTTTATTAGAAGAATGATGCAAGATGTGCCTGTGGCCTGCTGTCTATTCCACTTTATCTCAGATAAGAGAAAGGAAGTCACATTACTGTAGAGCGCTTTCCAGAAAATCCTGTTAATCCCTCACCCCCCATGATCCTGCTCCCATTATTCACTGTACTGAACAATCCCCAGCATCTTCTCCCAGACTCTGTACTTCAGAGAGCCCAGGTGTTTGGCAACATCTATCAGTGCTCCCAAAATCTTCTCTGGATCCTGCAGTGTGCGCTGGACCCTACAATAATATTCAAGAGTCAATGCTGCTCTGGGTTTGAACTCAGTACAATAGAAAAGAGGAAGACATGCTGGAGTTCACATACTGTACCTGCTCTTTGTGTTCTTGTAGTTCTGAAAAACATAATCAATGTGAAATATGAGTGATTATTCATAAATAGAAATCTTAAGACATTCTGTAGACAGAATGAAGATCAGACTACAGTTGAATCAAGTATGTCTAAATAATAGAAAAGTAAGATCTTTATACAACACAGATTTTCAACAACAATAAAATAACATACCAATAAAATTTAAAAATCTTAGAAGATGATACAGCACAGTATTAAAATGCTTATAGGTTTAAAAGGTGTAAATGCTTATAACAGGCGTGAAAACAGAAGAACCTTCTGCTGTGCACTAAGTTGTCACTACAGTTGTTAACTCAGAGGATTCCCTGGTTAATGAGCGTGAAGTCAGGTTGGGCAATTTGTTTTATAATTTTTTCCTGAATTAAACTCTCCTCTAATTGGAAGAAGACTTGTCATTGCAGTAGAATTCAGGAAAATGCCAGACTGCCAGCATAAAATGTACAGCCGAATTCTCACCTCAGTGTTTCAGCCCAGCACTGGGAACACAGTATGTGAATGTGACCTTTCATTACTGTCAGTACGAATTATTATTAATGCCATACACTTATATTGTACTTTTCTGGACACTACTTAAAACACTTACAGGTACAGCGACGGACGAGAACAGAGTGATTAAGCCAAGACATAGATGGGGTAATTAGGAGGCTGTGATTAGTAAGGGCCAGGAACAAATGTGGATAGAATTCTCTTTTAGAGACATTTCCCGTGGTTTTTAATGACCACAGAGAGTCGGGACCTCAGTTTCACATCTCATTCACAGGACTACTTTTTACAGGATCCACACAGACCACAGGGTAAGCACCCTCTACTGGTCCCACTAAACCTCTTCCAGCAGTGACCTTAACTTTCCCAGGAGGTCTCCCATCCAGGTATGGGCCAAGCTCACACCTGGTTAGCTGCAGTGGGTCTCCAGTTGTGATCTGCAGAATGATATATATAGCTGCCAGCATTAAAAGGAGTGTTGTTACAGAGTCATGTTTACCTGGAGGAATGAAAGGTCTTTAGATCCCATCTCCTGTTCTATGGCTCTGATTGTGTCTGAAAGGGATGAGATCTCACTTGTGAGCCTCTTAATCTTCCTTTTTATCATCTGACTCTTCTGCTCCTCTTCCTTCCTCAGTGCAGCTATCCGGGCTGCCTCTTCATCTTGTAGAAACTGGTGAAGTTTCTCAAACTCCTTCTTTATCTGTCTTTCAGTTTGCTGGGTCTGCATCTGGAATGGAAAAAAAAAACATAAAGAATTTCATTTTTGTTAATGCTTGAAGAAACTTCATTTACTAAGCCTGTCTTTTTATCTGATCCTGCAGTAGCTTCAGTGATGTCTCAAGTTCCTCCTAGAAAACATTGACAAAGTTAATTTTTGAATTTGATCATTTTTAGTCAATTTGACTTCCCTGTCCACAAGCACTGTATGACCAGGAAAGAAAGAAAACATAATGAAACAATTAAGATTCTCTCATAAATACTTTCTCAGTGCCTACTTCCTACATGAAGTTCAGATTTTTTATGCGTTTTTTTTTTGTTACAGGCAATGTATTTTTTTTATTTTACCCTTTTTGAATTGTAGTGGTTTGAAGGGTTTACTGAGACAATTATTAATTGTAGCAGTAATCACGAGGTTGTTCGTTTGGGGCTTTTAGAAAATCAATCATCAGAACAACTAACAACGCACACACACGGGTTCAATACACGAGATACATTTATTAATATAAACTGTGCACCAAACATATACTAGTCTGCCTGGATATGAGCGGCAGACCTTACTGTGAGGGTTATCAATATACAAGGTATATAATCTCGAAGAGATGCAAACACAAAGAGATACACAACAGAGATTATATGTCAATATATATTGTTCGGTTACCAAATGGCTAATCAGTGTTATTACCCACTGTTACTCTAAACTCGGAAGTAAATACATTACTCATGAATTAAATTGATAACA